TAGGGAAAGTCTTTTTTTTAAAAAAAAAACAAACCCAAAGACACTTCCTACGCCTCAGAGGTTTTTTTTTAGTGGTAAATAGTCCCTATTTACAGCATGGACATGGTAACTGGCAATAGCAAGACAAGCTTATCGGCCAGTGCACATAGCAAAGGCGAGCCTGTCTGCCAGGTATCGACGCAGGAATGGGATATGCTGATGGTAGTAGAGGTTACTAAGGAGTGTTGCTCCTGGAGTGGATGAAATAGAAACTTCAGGACCTGAGCGCATCACAGACCTGTAAAGGCATCACACAGTGAATGAAGGCAAAGTAGCGTCAGGAAGCTCGGGGGTGGATTTAGCCAAACAAATGGGACCGGGTGTCCGTGAGACATGTGTTGTGCTGCTGTAGCTTTGCTGCTGTTGTATAAATTGAAGCTGACTAGATGGAAAGTAGCTCAGGCTTCTCATGCTTTTACATAGGAGTTAACTGAAAAATTGACCTGACTGAAAAACGTTGAGGTGTCTTTTTTTTTTTTTTTGCACATTGTACAATGACCCTAACTTAGGGTAGATGAATGCAAGGGACCTTTTCAAGTGCAGTCTTCTGATTCTGCTGGGAAATAAGGCTCTTGTTTGTTTTGTCTTTCAGTTGCTTCAAATTACAACATGAGAAGAAGAAACAAGTTCTTCCTGCAGAGAGTCTTTGCATAAAGTTATTAGTGGAAGAACTGGCTTTTAACACTTTTTGAACTGCAAGTCCACTATCGCAGTGGTAGTCCAGGAAGCTGAAGGCAGCAATTATATTTTCTGTTGCCTTTTCTTCCTACCTTCTCTGCAGGCTACACAAATAGATCTGCTGGGCTTTCCTGCTCTGTGTTGTATTCCAGCCCACTGATTGACTCTCCTGCTGATAGGCTTCTGAAAACCTGAAACATTTCACTCTTGTTTTAACTTTCTTATTATAAATTGCTGGTTTTATTGAATGTTTTTGTCTGTCTTACCTCCTGCAAGATGTACTGTTCATTTGTCAGATCATGATTTGTTATTTCATACTGTTATCAAAATACTACCTTTTTTAGTAGAAGGTATTTAATTATGTATGTCACAATTTGTCTAGCAGTGAAACAAATAGATTGGTAGAGAACAACAGCATAATTTCTCGATCTGGTTTGAGCTACAGTATAAGAACATGAAGGCTACAGGTGTAGGAATGATTGAACTGATATTGTGAACCAGAATGTAAGGTAAAATCCCATCTGTTAAATCAGGAGATTAGACAGTGCAGCACTTGCATTCTGTATTTGGTGTCTTCTGAATTATGTGGCAGTAAATGACATCACTACATCTTCTATTTTAACCTCTGATAATGGTTCTATCTATAGCAGGAATGCTTTAAAGACCTGTATTGTATTCATATCTTTTGATAATCCTCAATTAAAAAGTATTACAAGCACTTCCTGTAGAATTAACGTTTCAGGTGAGCTTGGTTTGTTACCTCTCAAGATGCAGTCATAATCAAAGTCCAGAAAAAGAATACAAAGACTTCTATTCTTCAGTGGAAGAGCAGCCCAGTGACATGGGGAAGTAATACTGTTTGCCTGAATTACTAGAGGAGAATTGTGTTTTGCTGTTCTTCTGCCTTACGTGACACTTAATGTAAATATACATACATGCAAGATAACCCACATAGCGTTTCTGCCTAGTGACCTGGAATGAAGTAGTGCTTAAGCTAAAACAACTATTGTTTTAAGTATCAGTGTAGTGCTTTGGCATATGCTGTTGAGACTCGACTCAATTTCAGGCGTGATATTTTGAAAAGTAGTTTTTCTTGTGAAAATAAAAATGCTGACGTCTTTTGCAAGGATTATATGAATGCATGGAGCTGCACAGGTGCTGAACAGTTTAGGTTTGAAGCTAGGGATTGATGCTTCAGTGAAGCCACAGTGAAGATGAGTAGGTTAAGCTTCTTGGTCCCATTATTATCTTCTGACTTCTGAAGGGGAGGGGAAGAAGAATAATCAACCATTCACTAACAGAACATTGTATAATCCTTCCCTTCCTTTCCTTGGGAATGCTTGAATTTGACTCGTACACTGTATGTTCAAAATACTCATTGTTTTAATTTTGTCCTGAACTGGTACTAACAATAGTACAAACGTTGTTCTATAGGCACAGATGGAGTTTCCATATGTTGAGAGAAACACTAAAAGCATTAACATAGGAGATATCCTGCACCCCACCCCTTCAGTACAGACAGCTTTCAGAAAGAAAACAGTTGATAAGTATTCAAGGCAGATATAATAGTGCATTGTATATAAGCATGAACATTATAAAGCATTTTTGTATCACAGCCTGAAGTATAAGCATACCTAGCTTGCTGGAAAGCTTATTCCAGATAGAGCAGCACTTTGTAACCTCCTGGAAATGGCTGAGATTCTCAAGCATATTATATAGGGAGACCCTAAGACCTGGAGACCCTGCCACAAGAATTTAATGCTTCTGGTAGGCTTCAGCATGGGCAGGATTTAGTCTATACTGACCACTGGACATGAAGCGGGGTGGGGAGGGTATAAAGAGACATGCTGCCTTTGGAACTACGTATGAAGTAAAAGGGTACTGGTGTAAGGGAAGGAACAACCATTGTGCTGGGCAGGTCAGCCTGTCTGGATTTAAACTTTCATGTATAGATCAAAAAGTCGAGAGGTTAAAGACTGGATCTCACATTGTTTTTTGAACACTTGCTTTCATAGCTCTTGGGCATATTTGTAGTATGTGCCCCACCTAACTTCCTTCAGCTGTTCTCCCTGCTGCAGAGTACTTCCCTTTCCTGTGTGACTTTTCCTCTCCCCATTCTGTTTCCACAGCAATCAGGACTTTATGAATATAAAATCTTCGGTGGTCTTGCTGACTGTCCCCCAAAACTGTGTGTGGATGTCTATATGGACTTAGATTTCAGAAAACAATGGGATCAGTATGTTAAAGGTAAGCTCATCTAGGTAGTTTAAAAGCAAGCTTTATGTCCACATTGACTCTTCCCACTAAAACTTTCTTCAAAGGTATTTTAAGGTTGCTGCATCCAAAGATGTTGGGCCAGACTTAAATATCTTTTGGGATAATGTTGCACTCTGCAAATATACAAGTAAACACTGACATGGAACAGCTAATATCACCATATAGCTTTGTTCCAGAATGAATTCTTTCCGTATTGGTTAAAGCATATAATTGGCATCACTTGTTATGCTGGAGCACCTTGCAGCTTCTAGTTGTTGTAATTCCTAGGTTAAATTTTAGTTATGTTCTGGGGAGGAATGGACATGATACCTTTTGTGCATCTTTGCATATTGCAGCAGAGCCTGGAAAAGTGCAATGATTTGCACCAGTTTGATGTGTGATGGAATGTCTTTTCCTGAAAGCATTGGTTGTTCTTGGCACCTTTTACAATCAGAAATGGGTGTATTGAGAGAGTAATTGGTGACTTTGGGCTTTTACAGAGAGAGGAATAACTGATTTAGTTGAACCTGGATATCCATGTGATGTTAAAACATCTTAAGTCAGCAGTGACAAGGCAAGGGTTCAGCTGATGTAGACATCCCGTGATCCATTTATTTTAAAGATGGGGAGCCCTTCCATTTTAAGCCTGTGCTTAAAATCAGTTCAGGCCATTAAAACTGAAACACGGTCAAAGTCTTTTGTTGAACAAAGAACAGTGTTGAAAACTAAAGAATAGTTAAGTGTTGTGCTTGTTAAGTCTAGGACAGCTCTATGGTGAATGATTACGGGTAATGCCTTTGGCTGTATTGATACAGAGAACCATATATTTGACTCATGTCAGTACTTGGTCAAGCTTAAGAAGCTCTATCTTCATTAGTGTTTTTTGTCAAAATGGGCGATAGCTTTCATGTAGCAAAGGCCATTTTGCCATTAATGAAACAACAAGAACAGGAGTGGGACTCAACATTATCATATTGTTATCTTAAGTTACTTTAGTAGTCTTTGATCACTCAACATTATCATATTGGATGTAAAAATACTATGTTATCTTAAGTTACTTTAGTAGTCTTTGATTTAAGTGTGTTTAGAACTGAATGGTTCTTAAACAAACACTTTTTTTTTTGGTAATGCCTTCTTAGAGAAAAGAAAGGAAGCAGTTGGGGGAAGCTACACCCTTAAACTAAAAACTAGATAGTGTTGCATAGCTGGTGTTTATAGCCTTGCTGACCATGATATGTTTGTCTCTGAATTCATACTTGTGCTGGTACTTCAAGTCCAGCATGTCACAGAAGTTAACTCTTGAAGGGCATAAGCATAATGTTAATGCTTTCCTTTTAGCTTAAAAATTGACACAAGCCCACCCATTCTTTAGAACATAGTACATATGGTGAAATAGTACCAGCCAGCATTTTCAGTGTAAATAACTTTGGTTTTTCTCATTTCACATTTAGGGAGAAAAACCAGAAAACTTCCATTCAGAGCCTTCTTGCTCTTTATTTTACTGTTTATATTCCTTGTTGCTCTTACAGCTATGCAATAATGGCAGTCCAAAGAAGAGTTCTGTGCTGAACAGCTGGCTGGCATTGAAATAAAAACGTGACCAGAGTAGAAGTAGCTGCCTTTTTAGTTGAAAAGGTAACTGCTTCTGCGCTAAGCGTAAGAGGAGCTAATCTCTATCCTCTTTCTGTTCAGCAAAACTCATAGAAGGCCTGACTGGAGGAAGGTATGGACAGGATTCCTATGAGCACTGCAGAGGGTTGTGCTTTGATCTGTTCTTGCCAAGGGTTTGTCTGAGGCCTCAGAAATGGTATCAGTCTGCTACTATTGTTGCATTGCTGTTAGCACCCTGGCTATTTCCAAAGCAGGCTCCTGGATATCTACAAGATGTGGACATCCTGAGACCTGGTCTGTGCTGCAGCTGCCAATTCAGCAGGGGAGCTGTGACTAAACTGCAGAGTAGTGACCGAGGTACCACATGCTTCTGTGGCTTGATACAAAATGGTTGGGCCTGACCAATATTGAAACTTGCTACTCCTGATTGCAACGCCATCCTGACTGAGATCGTACTTCCCAACAATTTAACGGTAATAACTGGCTGCCAAAGCAGCAAATGCAGATGTGCTTGTTATGAATAAAACATACTTGTGATCTATTGTAGTAATGCTAAGTGAAATCTGGTTATTGATTAAAATGCACTGTATGCTGCACTTTCATCAGCAGCTGTCCACTAATACTGTCAGACTAAGGTGAATACAGGTGGGCCATGACTTACCTACTGTGTGGGTTTTTTCTGTGTTTGCAAAGATATAAAGGTAGATGAGTTAGTAGCTAACATTGGCAGCAAGGTCTTTAAAATAATATCTTAATCCCTTAAAAGGAAAGCTCTGCAGTTAGAAATGAAAGTTGATAAACCAGTGCTCCAGTGACCTCTGGTGGATAGCATTATGCTGTAGCTTATTACAACACTGGCGGTATTGTGCATCCAAAACTGCTCCAACCTGGAGAAGAGGAGAAGCTGTTTTCGTGGGTGACAGCTGACTTGAAGGACATACTAACAGAAGCCTAATTTGGAATATGTTATGTAGGGAAGGCAAAGATTCTCCCATCTGTGGCACTCTTCTTGCCTTAGCAATGAGATTATTGGTCTGTTCTAGCCTTATTTTCAAAACCACTGAAAGAGATGTGGCAGACTGTATATTAGCTCTGAAGGATAGATAGCACCTCTAGACAGAAGTCTGCTCTAAAGGAGGAAAAGACCACTCTGACTGTTAATGTGAACCACCTTTCTGGATCACACCCTTTTTAACTGCACCCATGTAATGACCAGTCCCTGGGCAGACAGGAATTTACCCTGGCTCAGCCCTATGGCTTGTCAGGTCCATTACCCTGATAATGGCAGTTATTGCCTCAAGGGAAGAAGCTGTACAGTAGATGGTTTTTCAAACCAAATTATGTAGTTTGGTTTGGACTAGTTATTCTCCTTTACGTCACACTACCTGACTGAGTCACAGCCATGTTTTAGAGACTATACTTAGATATTTTTTCCTATTCAGCTGCCTTCTGATTGAGTTTCCAGGCAGACTGAAGGTGGTGTAATGAAGGCTCATAAACTGCTTAAGCTTCTTGTTCACTGTTGCCTGTATATACTGCTGTGAAATTCCTAATAGCTTTTCCAAACTTCATTAATCCCTCATGTAAGACCTCTTCAGGTATTAGAAAGCAGTACTTGTCCTAGTTCCGTGTTAACTCATAATCATTTACAAGGATAATGATACGCTCATGAAAAAGCATACTGTACTTGTGGCTCAGAATTACACAGAATATGCATAGGTGAGGAAAAAACTTTGAGATGGAAAGGCTTTGAATGAGCTAACTGTCTGGAAAGGAATTTGACTCTGCCTCCCCCCAGAACTGTTCTCGTTTTGTATTTTGGGTTTTTTTGTTGTGATTTGGGTTTTGTGTTTTTGTTTTTTCAATAGCACCAGAAAAACAGGCCATCTCTTTCTGTGTATTTGGTTCCTGAACAATCCTGCTACAGAACTTTTTTTAATGTCTTCTACTGCCACAGCTTTACATACATACTAATTTTGACATAAAGGTTGCGTGTAAAATGTGTTCATGTCAGAAATCTGAGCAGGTCTTAATGTCATGTATGTTTCTGTTGCGGTAGAAATTAAAAGTATATAACAATCTTCCTTTTTCAACTGTAGAACTGTATGAGAAAACATATGACGGTGAAAAAGTAATTTACTGGGAAGTGAAGTACCCTTTTCCTCTCTCAAACAGAGATGTATCCTTTCAAGCTTTTTGTTCCTCTTGCAGTTTTTGTCACCTGGTCATCCAGGGATCCCAACAATGTACTGATTCTACTGCTCTGCTGCACTTGACCTAAGATCTTGCAGTCCTCATGTTACATGAATATGTTTAGCATGAAGAAGAATGTGGGTGCCTCTTCCCACATACAACTAAAGCTCACACAGTTGAATTATTACTCTGCAGGACTGAATCCTGTAGAAGCATAAGAAATAACTTGAAGGGGCTGATATCTGTAATGGAATTCATTTGTCAATTCATCATATGTCAAACTGATGCTGTTTTGACATGCCTCCTCAACTTGGAATGCAGTATGTCTATATTCGTGAATGTCGAGAGATGGATGTTGATGGGCGGAAGATCTGGGTTGTGTTAGCTCAAAGTGTGTCTGTTCCTCAGTGCCCTGAAAAGCCTGGTATTATCAGAGTTAAAAGCTATAAACAAAGTCTGGCAATTGAAAGTGATGGCAAGACTGGATCTAAAGGTAAGAGGTCAAGAACAGTTACTATAAGTGGATGTATTGAGCACTAGGAATACTTTAAAATGAATGAAACTTTTGGAAACACCCAGTACAGTGTGCTGCTGTTAAGAATAGTTTATTTTGTTAAGAATAGTTTATTTTGTTAAGAATTGTTCATTTAACAGTTGGGATGGGTGGTTAAGAAGAGACTACTGACCGCTTCATTCTGCCCCACGGCCTCTGGCCCCAGCCTCCACTTCTTTTCCCGACAGCCAGTTCAGTTGGGTAGAGTCTGATGCTAGCTGCAATCTGGTAAACTCAGCAATGATGTAACTATCATATTTGACAGATTTATAGATTAAAGGGCTTGCCTAGAGATTGACTTCTGTCTCAGATTAGTCCTTTAAGGCTGCCTAAAATGGTTTGCAATAGTCTAAATTAATATTATGGCACTCTCAGCTTCCCAGAGGCTAACTGGGAATGGCTATACTTACTTCACATTCCACTTCAGTACAAGTTGACTTTTTTGTGAAGAATTTAGAGCAGAACTGTGGTACTTGGTGATTCAGTTGTGCACACTGACAGCTTCTGTCACATGGTGTTAGAGCTAATACTTGGACTATGGCTGGATAACTTTCTGGTAACTTCTCTCTCATCTCTAGTCTATATGTACTATTTTGATAATCCTGGTGGCATGATTCCATTGTGGCTGGTCAATTGGGCTGCCAAGGTAAGTAATGGTTGACAGCACAATTGTCTTTGTCTAATCTGTTTCAAACAGTGTATTCACTGCATCCATACCTCTCTTCTGCATGTTGGGTAGAATTATTTTTTTTCTGAAATGGACATTTTGACCTTTCTAGCTCTTATGCAGTCCTGTTTTTAGAGTCTCACTATTGTTTGCTCTCATGGCAGTTCTCTTATTTTTTTATTCCATTCCTATCAAATTCCTTTGGTTAGTCAACCAGGCAGGTAAATTTGTACAACAAAACTAACAAATCCATGTTCCAGAGCATATGTGAATAGCCTAAACACAAGCAAACTTTAATAATGCAGTCTGTTCATGAAGGATTAAAGGAATGATCTGCTGCTTTGTACAAGATCTTAGAATTGTCCTGTATTTGTTTGAAGGCCTTGATCTATATAGTGGGAATTCTCATCTTGCTTATAGTTTTTCTTGATTACATTATGCAAGAATGACTTTTCCACTTTTCTCTTTACAGAGTGGTGTGCCTGCTTTCTTGAAGGATATGCAAAAAGCTTGCCATAATTATTCTAAGAGCACATAGGTCAAAGCTGATCTGAATTGTTTACTTCCTACAACTCTGCACTTGGAGTGGCTATTATATATTACACTGGATAAAATCTACCTCCGTGATATTGGAAAGAATTTTATTTTAGTTGGTTTATGCCTTGAATTTTACTAGATCTTTGTTTCCATCTCCGACTGAAGAAATAGCCACTGACAAGGTAACACCAACATCAGCTGCATCCTTTTGAAAGTACTTAAGTACTTAACTTGTCCCCCATGCTTTATTTATGCTGATTGTCATGTGTCAGCTAGAGGAATTCTGTTGACTGAAATATTACATCCTTGGAAAAGAGACAATGATCCTGCTAGGAAAAATGCCTGAGCTTGGACTGAAAATTCTCTATGTGTGTTATGCCTAGATCTGCCTTTGTGGCTTTGCAGGGTGGCTTCCTACTGAAATTGAATAATGGACCTCACATTGCTTAGGAGGAAACACTTTTGCTACCCAAGTTTATCATTCTTAAACTCTCTGCCTGCTATAAACCTAAAAAATTATGAGGGCATATAGGTAAATTACTAGAAATCTGCAGTAGGAACTGGAACTCTGTGTGACTAAGCTTCCTTGTGATGGCTTTAAGTCCAGATATAAGAGGACTTGTGCCTAAAACCTTGCATTCACATCTCAATATCCCTGTATGGAAAGTAAAAACTATTAGCTGTGTCCTTTGAAAAAAAGGAGGAGTTGGCTTCTATGTCTGATTTAAGGGGAACAAGTTATATCTTCAGAGTCAGCTTGGATACCGACTTTAAATTGGAAGTAATTTTAAACTGGATGACAGCAACTGAATGTGAATGAACTTGATGTGAAACTTGGGCTTGCTTGCATTTTAAATTTCATGCTGATGTAAAGAATGAAAACTGTAATTTTAGATGGTAATCCACTAAAAGCACAACTGAGCAGGGAATTAAATTTCCAGCACCTTTGCAGTGGGGAGGAGGGAGGCACGGGGAATGGAGTGCATAAAAGTTGAGAGGCCTCAGTCTCAGGGATTTAAAATATTCTGCATCTTTACTAAATAAAATCTAGTTACTGAACAAATCTTGTAATGGGGTACCTTTGTCTTGTTAAAAAAGAAATGATTGAAGTGATTGCCTTTATGCTTTGTGTAAATATTTGTTTCCAATAAATCATTATTCTGTCCATGCAATGCTCTTGTTCCATCTCTCACATTTAAGAGTGGCCATGCTGGACAGGTCACAAATGACAGGCAGGTATCATGGGCTATTTTATTTTTAAAGGCTTTTAAAAGAGTAACTTGGATTCATGAGAGTCAAGTAGGATTCCATGTGTTCTGAAGAGCTTGCTGCCAGCAGTTTAGGTATTTTTCAAGTGTCTTTGACTTGGAGACCATTACTGAATTGAATATTACAATGCTAGACAACTTTCAATCCATTTTAATTTTAGCTGGCTTTTTTTCCCCAGCAGATAAAGAACAGACATCGAGAGAGAATAGTTCTGAAGCATAATTCTCTTTAACTTTCCATAATTTTTGTATACGTGTGCTTCCTGAACTGGAGCCAAATTTTAATTTATATGTACTGAAAAGGAATGATCTCCATCATACCAAGAATATGATGGTGTTTTACCTGAGTATATCAATTCTCAAATTTCTTTTTTTTGGCACTGTTTAAAAAAATTGCCTTGAGAATTCAGAAAGCATTTTAGCATTGTGCTAAGTATGTAAGAATTCAAATCCCATAAGCAATCGCAAGAATACCAGAGTTGCTTTTGAACAACAGGATGTGGATACAAGTTATGTCCCGAAGCAAAGCAGCAAAGGTGGGACTAGGTAGATTGTTCAAAAAAGACAAGCAAAACAAACTGTTCTAGACTTGATATAACAGAATTTAAAAAGGGGACTAGCTGAGGATGAGTCTTCCTGGAACAATGATGCAAACTAATTGATTTCCAATTCCTTCTGAACAAAACTGACCTCTGTACCATAGCAAAACCTATCTGTAGTTGTAAACCTACTTCAAAACTTAGTTTCCAGGTTTACAAGAAATATGTACCTAGTGAGCTGAATATGTGCACAGAGGTGAACCATGTACAGAAGAGGTAATTTTTTTCATCCTTTTTCTCCAACCAGTTCATAATTTTGTTCAGTCTTAAATGAAAGCATACAAAAGTGAAACAATTTTATACTCATAAATTGATGATTGCATCTTTGTCGTTAGTTATGTGTAATCAAGACATAGTATACATTTTTCTGCAGTGGGCTGAAACAGCAAGAATGAACATTCAAGATGGTGAATGGCTCCATTGTCAGTCTTGCTGAAAACTTGATTCCCTACAGACCCCATACCGAAAGTATAGAATACATGGCCTTTGCTCACGTAGCCTTATTAAAGCCATTGCACAGGCAGTTTATTGTGCTGTACACAACTTTCCAAATTAAACCACATTTGATTAAACAGTAGCTACTGAACACATCTTTTCCTCTATTTGCAAGCAACTAATCAGTGATGTGAGCTTAATGCAACATCAGATCTTCTGTTAAATTTAGGTCCCCATGGGCTTTCATAGTGACAGAAACATGCGGTGACACTTCAGTTTGCTTAAGTATGTGTTACTACACCTATCTTGTATCACTAGGGAAGAAAAAGCAGTTCCAGCTTTGTGTGGTGTGGCTTCTTGTCTAAATGGGAGACTACAACCAGAAAGTAAGTGTTGGGATTTTTCAGTCTTTGGATATAAAGACATTCATAAAGCATTTTAGAGCTTTATTCATGACTGATTAAATAGTGATCTTGCAAAGTGTATCATGTGAACCTTTCTGGATAGCTTGAACAGAAATTTACCTACTGTGAAAGTTTTAAGTTGTCATACATTATGAGTTCTAGTGCACAGGGTTAAAAAAAATTGAACCTCCCTTCTCATGTATTTTGTTAATGTAGCACCTGAAAGTTAGCTTTTTGTTTCTAACAGCTTGCCTAAAAATGGAGCTCAAAGGGGTTTTTTTTGAGTGATATGTTGTAAACAGAGTTGTTTTTGTTTGAATAAAAAGAGTGAAGCATTTCTGTTAGATGATGACTGAGCCTCACTTCTATATCCCACCCCCATTAACAGATCGGTAGGTATCACACCCTACAGATTAAAAGGGATTAATGAAGTTTTCCTAGTAGCCAAATAGAACTAGAAAAATGCTGTAGTTTCTGGCAGTTAAGCAGGCATCTGATCCAAAGCACAATAATCAGACTTTCACAATTCATAATGAGCTTTGGATCTATTCTCATATAGAACTTATGTTTCAAAATTACAAGCTCTTACAAAAACATATTCTTGCATGCTGTTCTTCACATAAAGAAGTGGTTCTTTTTTGGGATGACTGGTCACCCATCTCCTGTTTCCATAAGGAGTCATGTTGTGACAAAGTGAATATAAACCGTTATTCCACATTGTGTTCTAGTCATTCAAATCTATTCTTTCCATGTGATCTCTCTGTAAAACTATTGTACTTGAGTTGGAAGGTAAAGGGAAGATTCTGAGTAACCCAAAGTCAACATAGTCAATGATATCGGATACGCAATCACTGTAGTGCTGCCTCAGAAGATGATGTGTAAAGGGAAACACAAGTTGTCTTTGCTCAGGAAACATCTGGTTGATACTTCATTTCTCAAGCAGGTCATTGGCTGTTTTTATAATTTAGTGGAACAAAAATGTGGGAAGAAAGGGGAATAGGCTTCTGATATTAATGCACACTAGTAGATGATACATCTTCCCAACAACAATTTTGCTTTCCATTATGTTAGTTTTCTATATAAAGAACATTTTCAAATGGGATCTAATGGTATTTAAATTTCACTTAGCTGAGAGTAATCTCTCCCTGAGCATGGATTTGCCTTCCTCTAGACAGGAGGATAATTCATAACCAAATTTACTGTAGTCTTCTGATTGGAGGAGACTACTAGACTTTCAGACAGAAAACTTTGCTCTTCACTCATCTCTTAAAGGTTAAAAGAGACTGAAAACTTCTATACAAAAACAGAAAGGAAGGCTTATGACAGGAGGTAAGTTATAAATCTAGATGGATTATATGGAAAATAAATGTTTTTTGAGGAGCAATAACAAGAACAAATCTCTATAGCAAGATTAATTTTGCTCAAAATTTTCATAGCACCCTGACTTGTAACTGCAGACTTAGGAGGAATCCTGACCAATAAGGTAAAGAAGTCTGGTGTTTAAGCATCCTACTAATTCTTCTCTGCAGCTGCCAATTAACATGTTGATTGGGATTACATATGAACACATATGCACGCATAAAGAGAATGTCATCTTTCTCTGTTAGATCAGTATTCCCTGTTCTTTGAGAACTTCGCCATAAACGATTATTCTCATCTGGAATCTGAATTACAAAAGTATCCTGGAGTCCTGCTGGAAGACAGGGACATTTTAAATGGTAACAACTCTCCACTGGAAACCTTAATTTCCAAAGTAAGAAGAACTGCATCCTGTGAGTAAGTGTTTCAGTGGAACATGCCATAATAAGCAATTATGTTGAAGGGCCTTGAATATAGGTATTAATTTTAGCCTTGTGAAAAATTTCCTGCTTCCCAGCTGTGCAACTAGTTAAACTGAAAGCTGTTCCTACAGTTTAAGCATGAGTACCTGCAACATTAAGATATAAGTGAGTTTGACTTTGTCTGTCCTCAGTAGATTTCATGCAGATTTCTAAATTTTTCTAAGGCCTCTTTCATCACTGGAGGCAGGAGAGGTTCTGTTATGGGTTTTGTGACACTGGAAGAGTCAGTTTTTATCCTAAGCTTAATTCTCTTATTATTCTTCATCTATGGAAGAAACTACTGAGAATTAATCATTTTAATAGACTGTGTTCTTCCTAGAATGGCAAGTTTTGGATTGTAGCAGTCCTTCTATAATATGTAAGACCAAGTGTTACCTATGTGCTGTACATACTTTCAATAAATGCCTGCTGTTAAGTTGCAAGGCTGGCAGCATTTCTGCCTCAGCATATCTTGAAAGATTTTAAGTCTTTCCATATTTCATCTAGAGTTGTGGGGGTTTGGGCTTTTAATATTCCTAAGATTAGGAATATTATTATTC